GTCAAAACAATATGAAAATGTAAAGATACAGTTTTATAACAAAAAAAAAAAAAAAAAAAAAAAACAGCAATAAATTTTTAAAAAAATCACCGAAAAAATGACTCTCGAAAAAAATCCTCTTTACAATAAATACGTCAATGAAATTTGATGTACAAACTGATTTCTTACAAAGAATACATATTCTATTCATACGAACCTATTCTAAAAATCTTGTCGGCATTAAATAACCCATTGAGGTGTTGATATGCCATAAAACAAAATAAACCAAACTAAACTAAACCAAAGAATATATATTCTATTCATACGAACCTATTCTAAAAATCTTGTCGGCATTAAATAACACATTTACTGTAATTCCCCGTGTATAATACACATTTTTTCTAAAAAAATAATAACCAAAACCAGTGGTGCGTATAATGCACAGCTACAAAAAATCTTTAAAAAAATGCCTTAAAATAATATGAATTATCTTAAAACTAAATTAGAATAATATTAATCTATGTTTAAAAACTTTTTTTTAAAATAAGAGTAGGAAACTTTGACAGTAATGAAATTGGGGAGGTACAATTTATAGGGTTTGATTACCAAACAAGGGGTGCGTATTATGTGTGAGTAGAAGCATTTTCCCACACTTTCAGCATAATTTTAGGGGTGCGTATTATAGATGAAGGAGTATTATACATGGGGAATTACGATATGTTGATATACCGTAAGACAAAATAAACCAAACCAAAGCTTTATTAATTGGCAGAACCTTAACATTTTTAAAGAAATTCCCTGTGAACAATGATCGGCCACAGCTAAAAGTTTCATGTGTTTTTAAGCAATTGTCAGGTAGTCGGGATTATATTGAAAAAGCTTCAATGTTATCGGTTCTAAACTGACATTTCGACTTCACACACTTTTCCACCACAGTAATGTAACTTCCTTGGGCTTTTACTGCTAATATATTCTGCTAATTATTCTGATGAACTTTATTCTTTCCTTTTGACTTTATGAATTGAAGTGCAGTAAAAGATTGGCAGCTGGGTCGTATCTTTTTACCGTCGAAGTTGCTAAATGTAGCCGTAAATTTTCTTCCAGTTTCTTACTGTCAACTGCGCTTTTCAAATATATATATATATATATATATATATATATAGATAACTAAACTCGTTTCGAAAAACCCTCGAATTTTTGATTTGCTAATCAAATCAATCTCGAGGGAAAAAAGGTTTTAAAAAAGAAAGAGCTACAAACATGAACTTCTGCCGACAAAAAAAATCGCACAGATGCAGGTTTGAAGCCCAAAGAAAAAACCCTGATACGAGTAAACAACTAACTAACAAAAAAGCGCTCAATACAACCGTAGAGCAGACCTAGATACACCTAGTGAGCCAGACAAACCTAGGTAGGTTTTGTCTTCATTTAATATATATCTATCTCACTATATATATATATATATATATATATATATATATATATATATATATATATATATATATATATATATCTTCTTTCTATTTGAATCTTGTTCACTTTATTTTCCTTTTTTCCTCAGGAACGTTTCCTTTCCCCTCTGTAATTCTTTGAATCTTATTGGCTTTATCGCCTTTCTTATGGCGAAATAATTAAAAGAAAAATAGTCGACAGGCTTATTGATGCTGAAAAATGTGACCAAACCCTCTGCGTAAATAGAAAATTTGAGTGACGTACCAGTGAATTAATCGGTTGAAGAATAAATGACAGAAACGAAGAAGTAGACAGAAATCTTGGCTTCAACTTGATCTTGAAATAGGCTTTGTCGTCGCCATTTTTGTCGTCTGCTGCTAATCGTTTTCTTCCGAGAGATATTTCCATTACACTGTTATATCAAACACATAAAATTTTTAACATGAAAAGATATTGAGCAAAAAGCTATTACCCGGAGTAATCGTTGAATCATAGATATCATTGAATGCCTAAAAAATATAAAGGGAACAGATTAATTAAACGGTTCATTGGTCTCCATTTTAGTTCTAAATTCGTTATCACCGCTTAAATGAATCTCAATACATACATTGAAAACGTGTTTTTTTTATTGCATCTAACCATTAAAACTTTCTATTACCGTCATTTTTGACGAGAGGGGTGGGAAACTAATATATATATATATATATATATATATATATATATATATATATATAAAAAAAAGTTTGTCCCTCAAAAAAAAAAAAAAAAAACCAGTGTATTTCCGAAGGATAGCAATTTTACGACAAGCATTCTTTGTAAGCAAAGCGTTCAATTTTAAGAAATACAATGTTCACAGAGAAAGAGTGTTAGTAAATAAATAGGATAAAAATTGAACTGAATTTATTAACAGATATACAAGTGATATTGTAGAGGACCGTGTGTTTTGCGTGTTGTATTAGAAACACGTGTGGAACTCCTGGTAGAATATTAAAAGATAAAGAAGACAAACAAAACCGATATATATATATATATATATATATATATATATATATATATATATATATATATATATATATATAAACAAATATATGTATTAAACAAAGCAATTTTACAATGGACATAAACAATAACATTTGTATATGTGTGTGAATATTTATGTTTGTTTTTTGGTGAATGTTCGTACGTACGTGTATGTGTGTATAATGTTCATGGTGTCTCCCACAAATGGGAAGACGCGGATCTTCTAAGAGAGATTACATTGTAGTCGTTGAAATGAAGATATGGAAAAGAGAACGAGGCGAGAAGTCACCCAGTATTTATAGTATAGAGAGAGTGACCTAGAGTTAACTAACTCCATGATAAGCGAAGAACACGTACGAAACTTTGAGTCGAGGTGATAAATTACGAACTCTTTTATTATTTGTCTTGTGCCAGAATTAAATGCTATTTTATTTATGTTAGTTTTTTGGTTTTTATTTGTGTTGGCTTCGAGAATTTGTAAGCGTTTTTGCACTTGTTTTCGTAGATGATTTTGGTATTGTTGACTAGAATTTTTCTTAGATTTGAATTTGTTATTAGTGGAACAGTGTGTTCTAATAAGGTGATTTTATGACACTGGTGTCACTAAGATGGTATGTAAAACGATGTGGGAGAGTTGTAGTTATTATTGTCCGATGTATGCGTTAGGGTTATATATATATATATATATATATATATATATATATATATATATATATATAAAAGTGAACATAAAGTCAACACTTAGAGGCGACAGTCTGTTTCGTGCTAGATGGCCTCCAGGCCACTATTCTTTTATTACTAGTGGCCTGAGGATTCCATCTAACATGAAACTGTCGCCTCTAACTGTTGACTTTATGTTCACTTTTTTATTTACATGCTCTATATCTGATATTGAGCACTTTATCCCATAAATATAGCACATCTTAAGACTATATTTCTTTATATATATATATATATATATATATATATATATATATATATATCTTATGATTAGAAATGCTATTTTTAGTGGGTATACTTCTTTGAGTTGATATTCGTGTTTTTTATTTAATATTTAGTACTCACTAAAATAAGGCTTATAGTAATAAGAAAAAATGGCTGATAAAAATCCATTCAAACACACACACACACACATACACACACACACACACACACACATATATATATATATATATATATAATGGGTATATCAACATTCACATGAATACAGTAGTAAAACCTGCATGTTGGTCTTCAGTTTGAGATTCGTCTCCAGCTATGCTGGTCAAACTCTCTTCCTCCGGGCAGAGAGGATCCCCAGACGAGGCTATGTCGAAGGGCAGAGTCTCGTCTCGGGAAACAGCTACCCGACTCTGTTTTTTACGGGGTCTATGGGGAATTTTGGAACGAGCCTACTGGCTTGGATACCCCACATTAAATACGGCCTTCTGCCGCATCTGACCGCGTAGGACGGTTGGTAGATATCCTGCAATTGAAGATTTACCTCCAGCTGTGCTGGTCAAACTCTCTGCCTCCGAGCAGATAGGATACCCAGACGAGGCTCTGTCGAAGGGTAGAGTCTCGTCTCGTCTCGTCTAGGGAAACTGCTACCCGACCCCGTTTTATATGGGGTCTCCGGGGAATTTTTGGCCAAGCCTACAGGCTCGGATACCCCAAATTAAATATGGCCTTGTGACACATCTGGCCGTGTGGAGCGGTTGGTAGGTATCCTAGCGTTGGAGATTCATTGTGGAATTCACTTGATTCTCTTCTAGCAGTTGACTACTACTTCTACGCGCCGCTGGTGAATCTTATATGTGTCCTTCATGTACTAAGTATTATCGTTTATTACCAACCGTCATGTGATTATTCTATTCAGTAACCTGCCATAGGTTACAACAATATATATATATATATATCACTGAATTTTTCCAATATGATTAATGCTTTTACCGATTTTAAAAATCAGGACTAATCTTTTCTCGATGACGTCATATAATCGGATAATTCATTTTTTTAGCAGTCGAATAACTCAGCTCTGATAATCTAAAATAGATAAATAAATAAGGCAAGAAAAATCCTCCACACTTCTTTTCAGCATTTTTTTTAAATCCCTTAAGAATATGGAAAGATCGATCATATTCTCACCGTCTTGAACAGCATTTTATTCATTTAGCTACGAGCTGAAGTACTTGTCTACGCTGGGTAAGAATTCGAAACTGGCTATAATTACATTAAAAGAATTTCGTAGTTACTCCAATGGCTTCATGTCTCGCACCTTTCGTCTGTGGAATTCCCTGCCTATTACTTGTTTCCCTGGAGCTAGAATCTCCATCTATTCAAATGTAATGCCAATCGTCATCTCCAGATGCCTTGACCTATTCCCTGTCCTTCTTTACATGCTTTCCTCTATCCCGTTTCTTTACTCTTGCAAACCCTTACGTACTAGTAATATCCTGCCTTGCTTGGGGTGAAATGGTTAAAAAAAAAAAGTTCCGATGGTGATGTTTGTAGAACTTCTTTTCATCTGAGTCAGGTTATTCTTAAAAAAAAAAAAAAAGGAAATGTGA